TCCCTTAGTAGATGCTCTTTGGATTAAAACTATATATTTCTAAACCAAACATCATCTAGCACTTTAACAAGTCATAAAGCAATATGCAAAACCCAGCTCAACTGTACAGTAAGATCATTAAAGATTTTGCAGGCCACTTTAAGTCCAAGGTTAGGTCTACCAACTACTTTTAAATATCTTTTACAGAAACACAAATTTCTTAGGTAATATAATCACTAAATCTTTAAAGATTTATATTTATAAAAATTATATATAAAAATTTAAGTCCAAGTGAGGTGGCTAATGCCTATAATGCTAGCATTCTGGGAGGCCAAGGTGTGTGAATTGTCTGAGCTCAGAAGTTTGAGAGCAGCTTGAGCAAGAGCAAGACCCCATCTCTAAAATATAGCCAGGCGCTGTGTCAGGCACCTGTACTGCCAGCTACTTAGGAGGCTGAGACAAGAGAATCACTTGAGCCCAGGAGTTTGAGGTTGCTGTGAGCTATGATGCTATGGCCCTCTATTAAGGGCAACAAAGTGAGATTCTGTCTCAACAACAAAAAAAAATTTTTAAGGAGGTCCTAAGTATTTAAAATACTCTTCCACAGGATCCCTTGCATGCTGCTAGAAGGAGTGTGAATTAATACAAGCACCTTGGAAAATGGTGTGACCTTACCTACTGAAGCTAAGCACACATGTAACCTGTGACCCTGCGATTCCACTGCTGGTATATCCTGGGAAATGTATTCCTATATCCACAAAAAGCCCATCCTTGTACAATAACGCTTCTAGGAGCAGTATTCATTATATCTCCAAATTGGAAACAAATAATTGCCCAGAGACAATTGGATGGGTTGTGATACACTCATGGGTCAAAATACTAAAAATAGCCGCAAAAATAAATAAATTGCCACTACATGCAACAATGTGGTTGACTGTCACAAGCTTGAGAACAAAAAAAGCCAGGCACAAAAGAATGCATACCAAATGATTAATTACATCCATTACATCCGCATACAACTTAGAAACAGGTCCCACTAACCCATGCAGTTAGAGTCAGGAGCATGGTAACCCTGCTGGGGAGGGTGGCGACCTGGAAGGGGCCACAGGGGCCTCTGAGGCCAGTCAGCTTCTGTTTTGACCTGAGTGCTGTTTACATGAGTGTGTTCATGCTGTGAAAACATATGCGACTGCACATCGATGATTTGTACACACTTCACATATATGTTAGCTTTCAATAAAAAGTTTACTTAGAAAATAAGCTCCCCCAAATTTAGCAAATATCCTTTAGGAAAAAACTGAGCCTAAAAGCAATTATTTAGTTTATTTTTTCTCTTCTATGAAAATTCATTTTATGTATTAAAAACAACTATTTCTATTGAAATATTACTTTACATTAAAAGGAAAAAAATATTGAAAGGACCATGCCTTTGTTAGCCTTCCATCCATTTTGCAGTTAACAAATAACCTTTTCCTTTTTTTTTTTTTGAGACAGCCTCACTATGTCACCCTCGGTAGAGTGCCGTAGCATCACAGCTCACAGCAACCTCAGACTCTTGGGTTTAAGTGATTCTCTTGCCTCAGCCTCCCAAGTAGCTGGGACTACAGGCACCCACCACGACGCCCAGCTCACAAATAACCTTTTCTATCATCAACTTACCTGAGTTGCTTTGCATAGTTGAGTTCGATCTCTGTCCTTTCCTTTACAAATTTGATGTATTTCTCAAGAATGTCAATTCCCCACTGTGTGTGTTTTTCTAAGTTGTCAAACTGATCCTGTTAAAACAAACAAAGAGAGAGTTTGTAGTCTTTCTCTGTGATTAACACAATGTCAGGGAACGATTCTCTTAACAGTATGCTGCTACATAGAAAGCAGCACTAATATTTTCCATGATTATACTTGGGTGCTTTTTGTTGAGCAATTTTAAATCAACATTACCAAATTTGGTTTGAAAACTGCCTGGAGTACTGAACTCTGATCCATTCATTCATGTTTTCTATTCTTTTTAGAAACATGGTTTTTGGATAAAAGGGGTGTCCCAGTGCAAAGGAAAATGTCTTTCCCAAATGCTAAAAACTGACAGGTGAAACCTACTCGCATGTGTGCACACACCGACACACACCTGCTAACTCAGCCACACCACTAGCCCTAACTGTTATCTCTGGCTAATAACTCAAAACAGTTGATTAAATTTGGAGCAAGGAAAGAGGAGAGGAGAGTTACAAAATTCTGCTTTCTTCAGATGAATAAAGTAATTTGCATGGGCTTTTCTTCCTTTTTTTGAGACAGAGTCTCACGGTAAACTTGGGTACAGTGCCGTGGCATCATAGCTCACAGCAACCTCCAACTCCTGGGCTCAAGTGATCTTCCTGCCTCAGCCTCCCAAGTACCTGGGACTACAGGCACCCGCCAACAGACCTGGCTAATTTTCCTATTTTTAGTAGAGATGGGGTCTTGCTCTTGCTCAGGCCGGTCTCCAACTCCTGAGCTCAAGCAATCCACCCCCCTCAGCCTCCCAGAGGGCTAGGATTACAGGTGCAAGCCCCAGCAACATGGGCTTTATTCATTCAAACATGCAATAAGCCCACATTCTGTGCCAGGAACAATGCTTGGAGCTGGAGAACCAAAATGAACAGAAGCATAGCCCCAATCTGCAGAGGGCCTTGGGAGTCTGCAAAAACAAGAGGGGGTCAGTTGCAACAGCTAAAGAAAAAAGTGTGGAGGAATCAGGTGGACTTGTCCAGTTGAGTGCAAGGTGGGACAAGGAGGGGCACAAGGGAATTGGTGTCAGTGGCTGGTAGGACTAGAGCTAGTCCAGGGCTAGATCACAGAGCTGGGGGTTAAACTACCCAGTGGGCACAAGTGGGACTTGCAAAGAGAATGGCATGACCATAGAATCATGAGGTAGGGAAGTCAGGAGACTGCCCCAATAGTCCAGGCGAGAGGAAACGGGAGCACCAGGGAAGAATTTTTAGGGGCATATAACAAGTAGATTCAATTAGTGTTCACAGATGATTGAACGAGGAGGCTGGGAGGGATATGATGGGGAGAGTCTCTGGTTCTGCTGTTAATGATTAGCCAGACAGTCCAGAGAGCGAGGAGCAGGGGTGAAAATTAAAATGTAGTTTTGACATGTGGAACAAGAGGCTGACATGTCTGGAAAAGAGTTGGAAACAGATTTGTGTTCAAGAAGGGAGGCTAGATAAAGCTCAAGAAGGGAGGCTGGGGGTAGGTGGGTCTGAAACAGCAGCCTGGATAGGAATGCTGAAGACTACTGCAGCTTTGCACAAGATTAGTAAAGAGGGCCTAGCTGGGGAAGGAGAGCCCGGAAGGGACTGTGGAAGTGAGCCAGAGAGAGCATTAGCACATCGCAGGGAATGGAGAATTTCACTGGAAACCGCATTCTCCATGGAAAATTTGCTGCCTCCTGAGAGGTAACGGTAATAGAGGATGAGTCTTCTAGGCCCAGCAACGAGACTGCAGAGAGATAAGCCACCACATGTCTCAAAGTTGTAACCATTTGCCCAAGGACGCAGATACCATCCCTGCTTCATTTCACTAATCAGTCATGAGGATCATGAAAAATAAAGATGAGCCTCCACCAACACGAAGATTCAAAGCTGCCCATCAGTTCCACCACAAGTGCACACAATATAATAGCAACATTCCGGGTCAGGCTTTAGATTTTTAAGAACTGTCTTACTGAGGTATGGCTGACATTTTAAAGGCTATACATATTTAAAGGCTGTATACAACTTGATGAGTTTGAAGAAAAGTATCCACCCCCCAAACCATCACCACGATCCACCCCATATTCACATACATCTACTCTAGAAATTTCCTCTGACTCCTTTAACTACTTTTTATTTTTGGTAAGAACACTTAACCTACCCTCCCGGCAAATGTGTGCGTGTCTGTACATGTTGCTAACTACAGGCACTCGCTGTGCCGTCCATCACCATTCAAGTTCAGCATCAGCTCCATCTGTCACTGGGCTGCACTATTTTCCATTCAAAGAGGTGCAAGCTGTAAAGTGAGTCGGCCTCACACCAGCAATATGTTCTCCATACAGTGAGCTGTATTCCAGAGCATTCTGCAAGCTGTAATACAGCACTTACCAAAATGATGGGGCCCGAATAATCTTAATAATACAAACCTGACTCCGGAGCAAATGAATCAGTGCTTGTTTGTGACTACAGCGCGGTTCTTTTTATGACACATTAAGACATCTCTAGTGACACCACACCCCATTCCTGCTATCACATGGATCACCACAGCATGGACTTTTTTGACAAGAGCTAAAAGAAAATTCAAAACAGATGAAAAACTAATCAACCCACTCACATTCTTGACTAAAATGTGGAAAACTTAATGGAAAAAATTCCAAATCTTAAAAAGAATCCTTTGTGAGGAAATATTATAAGTGGCCCTTTAAAAAAATAGCTTTTGCTACTTTGGGGATGGTGCCATTGTTGGAAACACATCCCTGCCTGCTCAATGTCCATTGACAGTGCTTCTGAGGACCTCTCTGCCCTCTTAAAATCACTGAAAACCCCAAAGAGCTTGTTCAAGTGCGTTATATTTATCAATATTTGCTCTATCAGAAGATAGAAATGGAGAGATTTTTATTTTTATTGTTATTATTTTTTGTTTTTGCATTTTTTGGCTGGGGCTGGGTTTGAACCCACCACCTCTGGCATATGGGCCGGCACCCTACCCTTTTGAGCCACAGGCACGGCCCAGATTTTTAAAAATATGTATTAATTCATTTAAGAAGTCCAGTACACATGAATGGAACTAGCATTTTTTTTATTTTAAAAAATAGCTACTTTATGAAACAAAACAAAAACTAGTAGGAAGGACTGCTTTATTTACATTTTTGCAAATCTCTTTAATGTCTGGTTCAATGGACGGACGACAGCTGGATTCTGACAGATGCTTCTGCATTCGATCTGCTATGAATGGGTGTACTGGGCTTGAAACATATGAAAAAAATATACCTTCACACAGATGTGTGGCTAGAAAACAAAGGAGCAAGTCAATGCCCATTCAGGCGAGTGGGGACATTCTTCTTTAATACCATACCAAGCCTTGACAAACAATAGTTTCTCAAAGGCTAGGCGCAAAATGAAATCTAAAAACCATAGCGATGAACTTTTCACACTTACTTAAAATCCACAGGTCTAACTTGCACTTGGAATGGATCTTGGAATGCGTGATTGTCTACATTATTCATTGATCACTTAGAGACCGTTATCCCACTGATACGTGTAGTTCTTTCAAGTGTTGGCACATTTATTATAAAATATCAAAAAAATCAGACTTGTGTACACTATTCTCTAGCTCATATTTTCTGATAAGTCTTGCCTAGGTGGCAAATTGAAATCCTGTCTTTTAAAAAAAAGAGAGGAAAAGAAACAAAAAAGGGGGGCTCCCATGAAGCGACCTTATTCAGCTTACAACTTCAACAATCACATAAATAAATATTTTGGTATGACTTAAAGTGCTTTATGCAGACTTTCCATCCCAGTGCACACACTAATAAAAAGAGTCAAGATTTGATAAAATTAATATTTTTGCTGTTTCATGAAAGACATTTAAAACTAGAACTGCAAATTTTAAAAACAACTAATGAAGAAAGATACAATAAATGCCAGTGCAATTTGGAGCCACAGCTTTGACTCATGCTAAGGTGCTACCAGTTTTACTCATGTTTCGCACCCTCAGGTCAAATGTTGACACAGTGGAAAACACAATCGATTACGAATGCAGTTTTGCCGTGTGGATTCCATGTGTGGCTTCAGGACCTTCCAGGGGTCCAGGGACCACCTTCGGAGAACCACTATCATATAACACATACTCTAAAATTTCTATTTCCAAGTCACACATTTCTAAAGATTAAGAAAGTCGGGTAATATACAACCTAAGAAAGACAGAAAATGTCTAAGAAGCTCCCTGAAGCACCCTTGACCTCACACTTAATCTTGACTTTCTCTGCTCCTTGAATTTAAACCAGTGAAAAGTTGTCCCAGGTGCTTTCAGCAGTGAGAAGCTGAGTAAGTTAAAAAGACCAAGGAGGCAATAGCAATTGTGTGAATCTATATGCAGATGCCGACCTTTGTGATTATTTTCACATCTGGTTTTATGTTCTAGACTCCTTTATAAAGTGAAGACTGAACTAGAATAACTGTGAACTAGGGCCACTGGCTTAGGTCCTTACACCTTCGTCAGAATTCTTACAGGATCGTGAAGCTCCATAGAGATAAATTTTGCCTTTACAAACCTACAAATCAATTGAGATTAAGAATGGTCTTTCTAGGTCAGTCAGTAGATAATGGTTAATGGAAGTTTTCTGGAATCTGAGTTTTTTTCAAATTAAGCAAAGGCTTGACCCAGAAATACATTCAGAAAAATGGCTTGCTTTGAGATGATGAGATGCAAATCAGTCGTCAAGGAAGTTTTCCTCCAAAATTCAGGTCAGCTTTTAATATGGTGCTGCTTGTGGTTCAACAGTGTACTAAACCAACATTAATTCAAAGTCCTGGGAATAAGCCAATACAGTAAGATACTAACTGGCTAAAAGTACCTCTGTGTAAGTGTCAGAAACTCAAGGAAAGGGGACCCAGAGGCCAGATCCTCTCCATGAGCAAACCCTTCCCTCTGCAGCAAATTCTTCACTCAGGGAAGGGAATCATCCCCTTCATCTTACTGAGTGCACTGCAGCTTGTGGCATCTGGAATACTACTCGAGGATGCTCTAATTTTTGATAAATCCA